CATATATATATATATATATATATATATATATATATATATATATATGAAGAGTGCAGGAAAACTCTTCTATGGAACAATGCTGTAAAAATCAATATATTTATATATGTTAAAATGCCCTATATTCTCCCTCTAGTAACTGACCCAAAGTATTTTGTAATTTTTCACAAACACCACACTTTTTTTTTTTTTTTAAGATTGCTTCTTCTTACTGGCAACCTAACACACCTTTTCTGCTATGACGCATGGCGTCAAGGTAGAAAGTTATGTTCCTCAAAAGAAAATAATTTGAGTGGAATGCAGGAAAATGATTTTGTTACAAAGAATGCACCCACAAAAATGTTTGTACATAATTCCAAATATTTTCTATTTACAAAGCACGCAAGCAGATGAAGAGATAAAACTCAGAGGGCACTCAGATTTAAATTTGATCAAACTAAATTAAAACAAATGTTTCTAAAACGTAAATGCAAAATATCCACACAAAATCTGAGACTCAGCACATTCAAAAAAGCATTGGAAAACAACAAAATTTGTTCGACCAAAAAAAAAAAAAAAAACACTTTGGAAATAAAGACAAAAAAAAACAAAACTTAAACAAAAAAAATGTATATGGTTTACCAGCATAATTAACTCGATATTTGTGTGGGCTATACATTTTTTGCTTATAGTAATGAGAGCTTCAGTGATCTCAGGTTTTATCTTTCTTTGACATTTTTAATATGATTTTATCCATGAAATGTTTGTACAAAAGGCCTACATCTGTTCCAGTGATGTGCTATTTACTCATGTTTTATGCTGTAGTGCCACCTAGTGAAAAAGCACATTTCCATTTAGTAACATACTCAGGAAATGAGGTTTCTGTAAAACACAGAATATTCAGAAAAATTATATTTACATAGAGCAGCTATTGTGCCATGGATGTCATGTTCAGTGAGGTGTTCATTTCACGTTTATTTTTTCATAGCTGTGCTGTGTAACACTCGTAGCCTGCAGTCTTCAGCCTGCTGTCTCCTCATGACGGCTTCCATGTGAAGAACAAACTAAACCCAGAGAAGAACAATATTACTTACAATACTCTCTAATGTAAGTGTGCTGTTACCAGTGTTGTTAATTTATTAATGCTAGTCAACAATCAATATATGAGTTTAATGTTTTAATACTAAACAAACTGTATTAACCGTATTTTCTGTAACATTTTAATCGAGGAGCAGTTTTTGTTTGCAGAAAAGCATATTTGTGCACTATTGAAAGTAATTTTAGGAATGACTTACATCCTGCACAGCCTTCAGTGTTGCTTGCATATTAGCCTTGGAGCGCACATGCACACGCAGGCCTGTGGTCACTTTCTTCTTATCCATAAAGGGTGTTGATGGTGAGGATGGTCTAAATGATGGAGAGTTTGGGGATGATGGCAAGAATGATGATGACGATGGTGGTGAAGATGTTTCTGAGAATGATGGAGAGTTTGGTGATGATGACAGTGAGGATGACTGAAATAATGGGATGGTTGGTAATGATGGTGAGGATGATGTAGATGGTGATGTAGTCATTGAAGTCAACGAGATTGGTGGAGAAAAAGAGGATGATGGTTTTGCTGCTGGTGGTAATAACGGCGGTGAGGTTATTGATGAAGACAGTGTTGGGGATGGTGAATTTGGTAATGAAGATGGTGCTGGGGTCAATGATGACATTAGTATTGGTGTTGCTGAAAGCGAGGATGATGATGGTGATGGTGCTGAAGTTGGTGAGGATGGTGTCTGCGATGATGGTGGGGTTGGTGTTGAAGATCGCTGAGATGTTGGAAATAGTGGAAAGGCTGTTGATGCTGTTAGAGAAGATGATGGTAAATAATTGGCAGATGATTTATCATAAAGATTTATCATAAACTAATTCTGTAATTACTTCTTCATGGATGCACAATGACTTTGTACATTTTGTCAACCCTTATCATGGTTCTTCCCATATAGCACTACTATTTGTTGGGAAGATTACCTTTAGTGACTTTGAAAAGTTGAGATGCCAGGCTGTTTTTAAAAGCACAACAATCACTCAGTTTCAGTGTTTTCCTGACTCTTAATATATAATATTTGATCTCACATAAAAATATTGTGATATTTTGGTGAGTCAATTTAGTTCATAATTATAAGTTAGTTCATAATTATTTTTAAATAAAATAGTAACCTGATAATGAGGTTGTTGAGAATGATGAAGTTGAAGTTGGTGATGGAAATGATGAGGCTGCTGATGATGACAGTGTTGATGAAGATGATGGAGTAGGTGGAATTATTGCTGGTGTTGATGGTGAAGATGATGAGGGTAGTGGTGAAGATGGTGAGAATTGATGAGGTGAACTTGAAGAAGAGAAGTATGATGAAAATGGTTGTGGTGGTGGTGGTGATGAAAATAGTGCGAATGATGAATATGATTTTGAGGATGGTGAAGAGGATGAGGATTCTGTTGTTGATAGAATTGAAGATGTTATTGTTGATGATGATGTTAATGTTGGTGGTGAAGATGGTGGGGATGACGATGAGCGCTGTGAATTTGCTGATGATGGTAATGATGAGGACAATGATGTAGAGGTTAATGATGATGAGGGCTGTTTTGATTGGGTTGATGATGATAGTGAGACTGATGAAAATGAGGCTGAAGATGGAGTAGTTGATAGTTTTGAAGATGGTGGTGTTGATAAAGGTGACGGTAATGTTGGTGAAGATGGTGTAGATGATAGTGTTGAAGATGATGATGTTGACAATAGTGGGACTGATAAAGATGGTGAAAATGATGATGGTGTAAATGATAGTATTGAAGATATTGATGTTAATGTTGGTGATGAAGATGATGGGGATGGTGATGAAGGCTGTGAGTTTACTGATGATGGTAATGATGTGGAAGATAATGTAGAGGTTGTTAATAGTAAGGGCTGTGCTGGTGAGGTTGACGATGATAGAGGGATTGATGAAGATGATGAAGATAGTGTAGATGATAGTATTGAGGATGTGGATGATGATGAAGATGATGGTAATGTTAATGATGAAGATTGTAAAGACGATGAAGATAGTGTAGATGATAATGTTGAAGAAGATGATGATGGTGATGATGATGACAATAGTGGAACTGATGAAGATGCTGCCGAGGAGGGTGAAGACGGTGTAGATGATGATGATGGTGGGACTGATGAAGATGGTGCAGATGATGGGGTAGATGGAGTGAATGGTAGTATTGAAGATGTTCTTGATGATGTTAATGTTGGTGGGGATGGTGATGAAGGCTGTGAGTTTGCTGATAATGTTAAGGATGTGGAAGATAATGTATTGGTTGTTGATATTGAGGGCTGTGCTTGTGAGATTGATGATAATGATGATAGTGGGACTGATGAGGATGTTGTGGATGATAGTATTGAAGATGTTTTTGATGATGATGATGATAATGTTGGTGATGAAGATGATGTAGAAGATAGTGTTAAAGATGATGACAATAGTGGGATTGATGAGGATGGTGAAGATGATGAGGATCGTTTTGTTGATTTTATTAAAGATGTAGTTGATGATGATTTTAATTCTGGCGATGAAGCCTGTGAGTTAGCTAATGATGATAAGAATGAGGAAAATGCTGAAGAGGTTGTTGATAGTGAGGGCTGTGCTGGAAGGGTTGATGATGATGGCAATGATAGTGGTGCTGAAGATGATGGTGACGGTGATGATGACGGTGTAGATGATAGTATTGAATATGTTGTTGATGCTGATGTTAATGTTGGTGATGAAGATAGTGGGGATGGTGAGTTAGGCTGTGAGTTTGTTGATGATTGTACAGATGAGAAAGATAATGTAGAGGTTCCTGAAAATGAGGGCTGTGATGGTGGGGTTGATAATGATGATAGTGGCATTGACGAAGATGGTGAAGATGATGAAGATGGTGTAGATGATGATGATGGTGGGACTGATGAAGATGGTGCAGATGATGGCGTGGATGGTGTAAATGATAGTATTGAAGATGTTGTTGATAGAATTGAAGATGTTATTGTTGATAATGATGATGTTAATGTTGGTGGTGAAGATGGTGGAGATGACGATGGGCGCTGTGAATTTGCTGATGATGGTAATGATGAGGACAATGATGTAGAGGTTACTGATAATGAGGGCTGTTTTGATTGGGCTGATGATGATAGTGGGACTGATGAGGATGAGACTAAGGATGATGAAGATGGAGAAGTTGATAGTATTGAAGATGGTGGTGTTGATGATAAAGGTGATTGTAATGTTGGTGATGAAGAAGGTCTAGATGGTAATGTTGCAGAAGATGATGATGATAGTAGTGGGACTGATGAAGTTGCTGCTGAGGATGTTGAAGGTGATGAGTTTTGTGTAGGTGATAGTATTAAAGATGTTGATGATAACGGTGTTGTTGAAGAAGGTAGGGATTGTGATGAAGGCTGTGAATTTGCTGATGATGGTAATGATGAGGAAAATGATGTAGAGGTTGCTGATGTTGAAGGCTGTTTTGGTTGGGTTGATGATGATAGTGAGACTGATGACGATGAGGCTGAGGATGATGAAGATGGAGTAGTTGATAGTATTGAAGATGGTGGTGTTGATGATAAAGGTGACGGTAATGTTGGTGAAGATGGTGTAGATGATAGTGTTGAAGATGATGATGTTGACAATAGTGGGACTGATAAAGATGGTGAAAATGATGATGGTGTAAATGATAGAATTGAAGATGTTGATGTTAATGTTGGTGATGAAGATGATGGGGATGGTGATGAAGGCTGCAAGTTTACTGATGATGGTAATGATGTGGAAGATAATGTATTGGTTGTTGATAGTAAGGGCTGTGCTGGTGAGGTTGACGATGATAGTGGGATTGATGAAGATGATGAAGATAGTGTAGATGATAGTATTGAGGATGTGGATGATGATGAAGATGATGGTAATGTTAATGATGAAGATTGTAAAGATGATGAAGATGGTGTAGATGATAATGTTGAAGAAGATGCAGGGGGTGAAGATGATGACAATAGTGGAACTGGTGAAGATGGTGTAGATGATGATGATGGTGGGACTGATGAAGATGGTGCAGATGATGGTTTAGATGGAGTAAACGATAGTTTTGAAGATGTTGTTGATGATGTTAATATTGGTGGGGATGGTAATGAAGGCTGTGAGCTTGCTGATGATTTTAAGGATGAGGAAAATGCTGCAGAGGTTTTTGATAGTGAGGGCTGTGCTGGAAGGGTTGATGATGATGGCAATGATAGTGGTGCTGAAGATGATGGTGACGGTGATGATGACGGTGTAGATGATAGCGTTGAATATGTTGTTGATGCTGATGTTAATGTTGGTGATGAAGATAGTGGGGATGGTGAGTTAGGCTGTGAGTTTGTTGATGATTGTACGGATGAGAAAGATAATGTAGAGGTGGCTGATAATGAGGGCTGTTTTGGTTGGGTTGACGATGATGATGATGATGATGATAATGTTGGTGATGAAGATGATGTAGATGATAGTGTTAAAGATGATGACAGTATTGGGATTGATGAGGATGGTGAAGATGATGAGGATCGTTTTGTTGATTGTATTAAATATGTAGTTGATGATTTTAATTCTGCCGATGAAGCCTGTGAGTTAGCTGATGAGGATAAGGATGAGGAAAATGCTGCAGAGGTTGTTGATAGTGAGGGCTGTGCTGGAAGGGTTGATGATGATGGCAATGATAGTGATGCTGAAGATGATGGTGACGGTGTAGATGATAGTGTTGAATATGTTGTTGATGCTGATGTTAATGTTGGTGATGAAGATGGTGGGGATGGTGAGTTAGGCTGTGAGTTTGTTGATGATTGTACGGATGAGAAAGATAATGTAGAGGTGGCTGATAATGAGGGCTGTTTTGGTTGGGTTGACGATGATGATGATGATGATGATAATGTTGGTGATGAAGATGATGTAGATGATAGTGTGACGAAGATGTTGAAGATGGTGTAGATGATGATGATGGTGGGACTGATGAAGATGGTGCAGATGATGGTGAAATTGATAGTATTGAAGATGTTGTTGATAGAATTGAATATGTTATTGTTGATAATGATGATGTTAATGTTGGTGGTGAAGATGGTGGAGATGACGATGTGCGCTGTGAATTTGCTGATGATGGTAATGATGAGGACAATGATGTAGAGGTTACTGATGATGAGGGCTGTTTTGATTGGGTTGATGATGATATTGGGACTGATGAGGATGAGACGGAGGATGATGAAGATAGAGAAGTTGATAGTATTGAAGATCGTGGTGTTGATGACAAAGGTGATTGTAATGTTGGTGATGAAGAAGGTCTAGATGGTAATGTTGCAGAAGATGATGATGAAAGTAGTGGGACTGATGAAGTTGCTGCTGAGGATGTTGAAGATGATGAGTTTTGTGTAGGTGATAGTATTAAAGATGTTGATGCTAACGGTGTTGTTGAAGAAGGTAGGGATGGTGATGAAGGCTGTGAATTTGCTGATGATGGTAATGATGAGGACAATGATGTAGAGGTTGCTGATGTTGAAGGCTGTTTTGGTTGGGTTGATGATGATAGTGAGACTGATGACGATGAGGCTGAGGATGATGAAGATGGAGTAGTTGATAGTATTGAAGATGGTGGTGTTGAAGATAAAGGTGACGGTAATGTTGGTGAAGATGGTGTAGATGATAGTGTTGAAAATGATGATGTTGACAATAGTGGGACTGATAAAGATGGTGAAAATGATGATGGTGCAAATAAAGGTAGGGATGGTGATGAAGGCTGTGAATTTGCTGATGATGGTAATGATGAGGACAATGATGTAGAGGTTGCTGATGTTGAAGGATGTTTTGGTTGGGTGGATGATGATAGTGAGACTGATGAAGATGAGCCTGAGGATGATGAAGATGGAGTAGTTGATAGTTGTTAATGTTGGTGGGGATGGTGATGAAGGCTGTGAGTTTGCTGATGATGTTAAGGATGTGAAAGATAATGTAGAGGTTGTTGATATTGAGGGCTGTGCTTGTGAGGTTGATGATAATGATGATAGTGGGACTGATGAGGATGTTGTGGATGATAGTATTGAAGATGATTTTGATGACGATGATGATGATGATGATGATGATGATGGTGATAATGTTGGTGATGAAGATGATGTAGATGACAGTGTTAAAGATGATGACTGTATTGGGATTGATGAGGATGGTGAAGATGATGAGGATCGTTTTGTTGATTTTATTAAAGATGTAGTTGATGATGATTTTAATTCTGGCGATGAAGCCTCTGAGTTAGCTGATAATGATAAGAATGAGGAAAATGCTGCAGAGGTTGTTGATAGTGAGGGCTGTGCTGGAAGGGTTGATGATGATGGCAGTGATAGTGATGCTGAAGATGATGGTGAAGGTGTAGATGATAGTGTTGAATATGTTGTTGATGCCGATGTTAATGTTGGTGATGAAGATAGTTGGGATGGTGAGTTAGGCTGTGAGTTTGTTGATGATTGTACGGATGAGAAAGATAATCTAGAGGTTCCTGAAAATGAGGGCTGTGATGGTGGGGTTGATAATGATGATAGTGGTATTGACGAAGGTGGTGAAGATGGTGTAGATGATGATGATGGTGGGACTGATGAAGATGGTGCAGATGATGGTGTAAATGATAGTATTGAAGATGTTATTGTTGATAATGATGATGTTAATGTTGGTGGTGAAGATGGTGGAGATGACGATGAGCGCTGTGAATTTGCTGATGATGGTAATGATGAGGACAATGATGTAGAGGTTACTGATGATGAGGGCTGTTTTGATTGGGTTGATGATGATAGTGGGACTGATGAGGATGAGACTGAGGATGATGAAGATAGAGAAGTTGATAGTATTGAAGATCGTGGTGTTGATGACAAAGGTGATTGTAATGTTGGTGATGAAGAAGGTCTAGATGGTAATGTTGCAGAAGATGATGATGAAAGTAGTGGGACTGATGAAGTTGCTGCTGAGGATGTTGAAGATGATGAGTTTTGTGTAGGTGATAGTATTAAAGATGTTGATGCTAACGGTGTTGTTGAAGAAGGTAGGGATGGTGATGAAGGCTGTGAATTTGCTGATGATGGTAATGATGAGGAAAATGATGTAGAGGTTGCTGATGTTGAAGGATGTTTTGGTTGGGTTGATGATGATAGTGAGACTGATGAAGATGAGGCTGAGGATGATGAAGATGGAGCAGTTGATAGTATTGAAGATGGTGGTGTTGATGATGAAGGTGACGGTAATGTTGCTGAAGATGGTGTAGATGATAGTGTTGAAGATGATGATGTTGACAGTAGTGGCACTGATAATGTTAATAGTAAGGGCTGTGCTGGTGAGGTTGACGATGATAGTGGGATTGATGAAGATGATGAAGATAGTGTAGATGATAGCATTGAGGTTGTGGATGATAATAAAGATGATGGTAATGTTAATGATGAAGATTGTGAAGATGATGAAGATAGTGTAGATGATAATGTTGAAGAAGATGATGGTGGTGATGATGATGACAATAGTGGAACTGATGAAGATGGTGCCGAGGATGGTGAAGATGGTGTAGATGATGATGATGTTGGGACTGATGAAGATGGTGCAGATGATGGTTTAGATGGAGTAAATGATAGTATTGAAGATGTTGTTGATGATGTTAATGTTGGTGGGAATGTTGATGAAGGCTGTGAGTTTGCTAATGATGTTAAGGATGTGGAAGATAATGTAGAGGTTGCTGATATTGAGGGCTGTGCTTGTGAGGATGATGATAATGATGATAGTCGGACTGACGAGGATGGTGTGGATGATAGTATTGAAGATGTTTTTGATGATGATGATGATGATGATAATGTTGGCGATGAAAATGATGTAGATGATAGTGTTAAAGATGATGACAATAGTGGGATTGAAGAGGATAGTGAAGATGATGAGGACCGTTTTGTTGATTGTATTAAAGATGTAGTTGATGATGATTTTAATTCTGGCGATGAAGCCTGTGAGTTAGCTGATGATGATAAGGATGAGGAAAATGCTGCAGAGGTTGTTGATAGTGATGGCTGTGCTGGAAGGGTTGATGATGATGGCAATGATAGTGGTGCTGAAGGTGACGGTGATGATGACGGTATAGATGATAGTGTTGAATATGTTGTTGATGCTGATGTTAATGTTGGTGATGAAGATAGTGGGGATGGTGATTTAGGCTGTGAGTTTGTTGATGATTGTACGGATGAGAAAAATAATGTAGAGCTTCCTGAAAATGAGGGCTGTGATGGTGGGGTTGATAATGATGATAGTGATATTGACAAAAATGGTGAAGATGGTGTAGATGATGATGATGGTGGGATTGATGAAGATGATGCAGATGATGGTGTGGATGGTGTAAATGATAGTATTGAAGATGTAGTTGATGATGTTAATGTTGGTGGGGATGGTGATGAAGGCTGCGAGTTTGCTGATGATGGTAAGGATGTGGAGGATAATATAGAGGTTGTTGATATTGAGGGCTGTGCTGGTGAGGTTGATGATAATGATAGTGATGGGGATGGTGATGAAGGCTGCGAGTTTCCTGATGATGGTAATGATGAGGACGATGATGTAGAGGTTGCTGATAATGAGGGCGGTTGTGGTTGGGTTGATGATGATGATGATGATGATAGTGGGACTGATGAAGATGAGGCTGAAGATGGTGGTGTTGATGATACATGTGATGGTGATGTTGGTGAAGATGGTGTAAATGATAGTGTTGAAGAAGATGATGATGTTGACAATAGTGGGACTGATGAAGATGGTGCTGAGGATGGTAAAGATGATGGTGTAAATGATATTATTGAAGATGTTGATGATGCTAATGATGGTGGTGAAGATGATGGTGATGTTGATGAAGGCTGCAAATTTGCTGCTGATGGTAAGGATGTGGAAGATAATGTAGAGGTTGTTGATATTGAGGGATGTGCTGGTGAGGTTGATGGTGATAGTGGGATTGATGAAGATGGTGAAGATAGTGTAGATGATATTATTGAAGATGTTGATAATGAAGACAGAGAAGATGATGAAGATGGTGTAAATAATAATGTTGAAGAAGATGATAGCAATGTTAATGTTGACAATAGTGGGACTGATGAAGATGGTGCAGAGGATGGTGAAGATGGTGTAGATGATGATGATGATGATGATAGTGGGACTGATGAAGATGTCACTGAAAATGGTGCAGATGATGAAGATAGTGTTGAAAATGAAGTTGTCAGTAGTGGGACTGATGATGATGATGGTAATGAGGATGGCAAAGACGATGAAGATGGTGTAGATGATATTTTTGAAGATGTTAATGTTGGTGATGAAGATAGTGGGGATGGTGATGAAGGCTTTGAGTTTGCTGATGATAGTAAGGATGTGAAAGATGATGTAGAGGTTGTTGATAGTAAGGGCTGTGCTGGTGAGGTTGACGATGATAGTGGGATTGATGAAGATGTTGAAGATAGTGTAGAAGATAGTATTGAGGATGTGGATGATGAAGAAGATGATGGTAATGTTAATGATGAAGATTGTGAAGATGATGAAGATGGTGTAGATGATAATGTTGAAGAAGATGCAGGGGGTGAAGATGATGACAATAGTGGAACTGGTGAAGATGGTGTAGATGATGATGATGGTGGGACTGATGAAGATGGTGCAGATGATGGTTTAGATGGAGTAAATAGTTTTGAAGATGTTGTTGATGATGTTAATGTTGGTGGGGATGGTGATGAAGGCTGTGAGCTTGCTGATGATGTTAAGGATGAGGAAAATGCTGCAGAGGTTTTTGATAGTGAGGGCTGTGCTGGAAGGGTTGATGATGATGGCAATGATAGTGGTGCTGAAGGTGACGGTGATGATGACGGTATAGATGATAGTGTTGAATATGTTGTTGATGCTGATGTTAATGTTGGTGATGAAGATAGTGGGGATGGTGAGTTAGGCTGTGAGTTTGTTGATGATTGAACAGATGAGAAAGATAATGTAGAGGTTGCTGATAATGAGGGCTGTTTTGGTTGGGTTGATGATGATGATGATGATGATAATGTTGGTGATGAAGATGATGTAGATGATAGTGTTAAAGATGATGACAATAGTGGGACTGATGAGGATGGTGAAGATGATGAGGATCGTTTTGTTGATTTTATTAAAGATGTAGTTGATGATGATTTTAATTCTGGCGATGAAACCTGTGAGTTAGCTGATGAGGATAAGGATGAGGAAAATGCTGCAGAAGTTGTTGATAGTGAGGGCTGTGCTGGAAGCGTTGATGATAATGGCAATGATTTTGGTGCTGAAGATGATGGTGACGGTGACGGTGATGATGACGGTGTAGATGATAGTGTTGAATATGTTGTTGATGCTGATGTTAATGTTGGTGATGAAGATAGTGGGAATGGTGAGTTAGGCTGTGAGTTTGTTGATGATTGTACGGATGAGAAAGATAATGTAGAGGTTCCTGAAACTGAGGGCTGTGATGGTGGGGTTGATAATGATGATAGTGGTATTGACGAAGATGGTGAAGATGATGATGATGGTGGGACAGATGAAGATGGTGCAGATGATGGTGTGGATGGTGTAAATGATAGTATTGAAGATGTAGTTGATGATGTTAATGTTGGTGGGGGTGGTGATGAAGGCTGCGAGTTTGCTGATGATGGTAAGGATGTGGAGGATAATATAGAGGTTGTTGATATTGAGGGCTGTGCTGGTGAGGTTGATGATAATGATAGTGATGGGGATGGTGATGAATGCTGCGAATTTCCTGATGATGGTAATGATGAGGACGATGATGTAGAGGTTGCTGATAATGAGGGCGGTTGTGGTTGGGTTGATGAAGATGATGATAGTGGGACTGATGAAGATGAGGCTGAGGATGGTGGTGTTGATGATAAATGTGATGGTGATGTTGGTGAAGATGGTGTAAATGATAGTGTTGAAGAAGATGATGATGTTGACAATAGTGGGACTGATGAAGATGGTGCTGAGGATGGTAAAGATGATGGTGTAAATGATATTATTGAAGATGTTGATGATGCTAATGATGGTGGCGAAGATGACGGTGATGTTGATGAAGGCTGCAAATTTGCTGCTGATGGTAAGGATGTGGAAGATAATGTAGAGGTTGTTGATATTGAGGGATGTGCTGGTGAGGTTGATGGTGATAGTGGGATTGATGAAGATGGTGAAGATAGTGTAGATGATGAAGATGGTGTAAATAATAATGTTGAAGAAGATGATGGCAATGATAATGTTGACAATAGTGGGACTGATGAAGATGGTGCAGAGGATGGTGAAGATGGTGTAGATGATGATGATGATGATGATAGTGGGACTGATGAAGATGTCACTGAAAATGGTGTAGATGATGAAGATAGTGTAGAAGATTGTGTTGAAAATGAAGTTGTCAGTAGTGGGACTGATGATGATGATGGTAATGAGGATGGCAAAGACGAT